TATTTTGGGAAACTACCATTTGATGGTACAAGGTTTTTGGAGGGGCCGCATGTTGCGGGGCGTCTAGAGCCCTCCACTAGTTTCTAATTGCCTGTGCTGCCAACTGGGTTGCTGTTAAGGANNCTTAACAGCAACCCAGGCTATTGCACCATGATCGATGCTTTTGCCCAAAGCGGTGACTTGCACCGCGCAGAGAAGTGGCTTGAGAAGATGGAACGATCAGGACTTCAGGTCGGAATCGTTCTGATCGTTACTATTATTGTTACTATTATCGCTGTTACTACTATGACTGCTAGTAGTATTGGTATTACTACTACTACTACTACTAATGTTATTTTTATTGATATTAGTATTCTTCTGATTTTTATTTGGATTCGTCCATGGTGATGCGATTGATGTAGGACGCTAGATCAAATGCCTAGTTTGATGAGGCACGCAGCTAAGGTACCCCAACAGAGCCGATGAACGTTACTACTATGACCATTATTACTACTTTTCTTGCTGTTATTACTCTTCTTCTTACCGTTACTACTATTTTTCCTTTTATTGTTGTTACTGCTGTCATCATTTGTGTTACATTAGCCTATAGTCACCCTTACGTAGATAGAATATGGCTTTGGGCATATTACAATAAGATCCCCATATACCCCATATTCTATCTACTGAAGGGGAACTATAATCCTAATATATATTCCATTGTAATTTAGTAATTTCCATTTTCTTTTCCATTATCCCTGGGTTTCCAGCAGGTCGGAGCCACCACCTATGGCCTTCTCATCAGCACCGTGGCCAAGATGGGTGACATCAGCCGGGTGGAGCGCATTTTCGAGCGCATGGACAAGGCCAACGTGGAGGTCAACGGCGTCTCTTCGCTAGAAATCAGAGAGCCGAATTATGTCTAGGGTAACTGTAGTTATGGGGCTTATAATTAGGGTTATAACTACAGTTACTAAGTAGGTTATAAGTACAACGGACCTCTAAGTATGCCTTAAATCAAGTAGTCCACAAGAATCCCTGAGTTTGATCCTTTAGAATTTGGGTTGGTACCCAAGCCGAGTCCACCTACAACGCGCTCATCTCCGCCTGCGCCCGCAAGGGGGACGTGGACCGTGCCGAGTTCTGGCTCAAGAAGCTCCTAAAATCCACGGCATCTGCCGACGTGGCCAGTTACTGGGTTGCTGTTAAGGAACATAAATTAAGCTACTATATTGGGGAAACCCTATAGCGTTTAGGGTTTAGGGTTTAGTATCATCCCCCTATAGTGGAGAATCAAATGGAAAAGAACATGGAAAATGAAATGGAAGCTGGGGGAATTATAGGGATTTAAGGAACTTAAATGAAGTTGCTATATTGGGGAAACCCTTTTGTTCATTATATATATACCCATTATGGTAACTTAATTTAAGTTCCTTAACAGCAACCCAGGTTACTCCTCGGTCATCCATGCGTGCGCCAAGGCCAACAGCTTGCGCCGGGCGGAGGCCCACGAACCCTTTGAACAACATCTCAGATCTTTTCTTATCTCATCCCTGTGTACGTGAGAAATTTGTCAGAGGGCCCATGCGTGACTAGATGCTTGTCGCACTTTCATGACTGCTTGCTCTAGTGACTGCGGTGCCCTGATGGCTAGTAGGCCTGGATCGAGCAGATGGAACGCGATAGCATCCAGGCCAACGTGGTGACCTACAACAGTGGCTCGATCGATCAATGTTAGGAAGGATAGGCTTTAACATGCTGAATCCATCAAGCCCCTGCACATGTAAGCTGTAGCCTAAACTCCTGAAAGGGGGGTTATTATACAGGGGATTATATAGGGCAGTATTATGGGGGTTATTAAGGGGATACTAAGATGTTAGAGTATAGCTCATGTAAGCGTACACTGTAACTGTTACCCCCTGTCTCTCTTCTTAGGTGTGATCAACGCCTGTGCCCGCTGCGGCGATGCCAAGCGTGCGGAATATTGGTTCCAGAAGCTGGGTTGCTGTTAAGGAACTTAAATTAAGTTACCATATTGGGGAAACCCTATTATTTACTATGTATACCCATTATGGTAACCCTACACCCAAAACCCTAAACCCTATATACCCATTGTGGTAACTTAATTTTAAGTTCCTCAACAGCAACCCAGGAAGATGGTGGCCCAGGGAGTCCAACCTGGGGTGCTGACATTCAACTCCCTGGTGAATCCTGGTTTAGGGATTTAGGGTTTGGGGATTTAGGGTTTAGGGATTTAAGGTTTAGGGATTTAGGGTTTAGGGATTTAGGGTTTAGGGGTGAGGGTTTAGGGGGCTGCACTTTGATACTTTACTTTTCCTTCCTTTGTTACATAGGAGGTTGGTGTGGAATATGTGTACTTGGGGACATGTTCAGAACTGATAGCAAATGATGGCAACGACCAGCCAAACTCTTTTCTCCTATCTCCTTGAAAATTACTTTTCGATTTTATTACAAACCCTAAATCCTAGACCCTAAACCCTAAATCCTAGACCCTAAATCCTAAGTCCTAAGCCCTTAATCCTAAACCCTAAGCCCTAAACCCTAAATCCCAAACCCTAAACCCTAAATTCTAAAACACGCAGATCTCAGGAATGCCTGCGCCAAGGCCTTGGATGTGGACCGAGCCGAGAAGTGGCTCAAAGAGATGCCGAAGCATAACGCCCCTGGGTTCCAAATGACGTATAGTTTAAACTCCTTAAAGGGGTTATATAAGGGGTTATGTAGGGGACTACTATAGGGGTTTTTAAGGGGGATACTAGGAGTTTAGACTACAGCTCAAATAAGAGGGATTTGGGGTCTAGGAATGTGGATTTAGGGTTGAGGGTTCAGGATTTAGGGTTTGCAGCTTAGGGTTTAGGATTTAGGGTTGAGGGCTTAGGATTTAGGGTTGAGGGTCTAGGATTTAGTGCCTAGGGTTCATAAAATACGGTCCCTTGGGGACGTTGGAAGAATCCCAATTCAACTTATTTAACCGTATAGAATCCCCATATTCTCTGTATAACGCCCTAAGACCACTTCAACAGAAAGCCAGGTCCAGCCCGACGACGTGTCCTACAGCACCGTCATCCACGCTTCTGGGTCTTTGCTAGATATACAGTCCCCATTAAGTAGATAGAATATGGGGTGTATGGGGATCTTATTATAATATACCCAAAGCCATAATTCTATCTACTCAAGGGTAACTACATTTTCCAAGTTCTTGGAGCCTGCGCCACGCATACAGTGGAAGGGCATCGTGTTTGTCAGCGGGTATGTGTCAAACAATGGTTCCTTGCGCACATAGCACAGCCCGTTGAAAGGAAAGCATTTTAGCAAATGGCAGACATATAATGGCAGACAGGCCATCACGTCCAAGAGCGGAAGTGGTTCCCAAAGACTACAGTGATGATCCGTCGGTTTTCCACAGAACACCTCAATACTCCCAACAATACCTTTCACCGCCCGTATGCAGAAGGGGGAAGGGATGAATGATCAAGGCCTGCGGCACCGCCCAGGAGCCCGAGCGCGCAGAGGATCGGTTCTTTTGTTTGCTGAGAGGAGGGAGGCACTTCTTTTGAGTTGTAAATGCTAATCAAACAATGCCAAGGTGCATGCGATACGTCGTTAACAATCCTCTCCCACTGTTAATGAACCGCCCCGCCCTCAATTCTATGTATTCCCCCAAACTGTATAAGGGCATTATTTTGGGGAGATTCATTATTGGGGGGTTTTGGGGGTTTATTAGTAGGAGAGGGAACTAGCTCCAAGCAGAGCAGAGAGGAGTGGATGAAGCTGATGACCTCTTCTCTTTGCAGCCAGGGCGAAAAGCCAGGTGCGACTGATGAATTCACCGGAGTAGTATTTGATTTGGGCTTACTTTCGCTTCGTGGATCGACTGATGTCCAAGAATCACATTATGGCACCCAACATAGAGTTTATATAAGCAATTCAATGTTACTAGGTTCAACCACCAAAAAAACGCTCCGCACATGTGAGCTTCTCACTGGCGGCCCTGCACGCGCCTTAATTAATAGGGACTTTACATTTCCGTTCTAGTCCTTAGATACGCCTAGGGCCCCTATTCGGCCCTGTTGTTTTGAGAAACTCCCAGCGCAGAGGGATGAGAAGTAGAACCATGATGACGTTTAACTAACTTAAAGAAATTCCAATTAGATCTTATTGGTAGCACACGGGGCTTACCAGAATTCCGAGCCGAACAAATGAACTCCTTCAGATAGACTTTGGACGTGAGAGCGGTCTATGTTAGTTGAATTTACCCCGGACATATAGAAGAGCCCGGAGATTGCTACAATCTGGCTTGCTGTAGCAGGAAGACGCACGGGAAGGTAGCCCTTCTTTGGAAGAATCATGAAGCCTTGGGTTCTTGCTGGAAAAGCCAGGTGCCTTTTGCTACAACTCCATTGCGCAGGCCCAGAGTGAGATTGCGGGACGAAGATGTGAGGGACCATACCCATGAGGAGCACTCCAGCTGTTGGGTTCTTCTTTGCATGGATATGTGTACACAACCCTGACCTGGTGCAGGCCTGGGTGCGAGCCGGTGACGTGGACCGGGCCATGCATTGGTTGTCGGAAGCAGAACGCCTTGGCGTGGAAGTGTCCTCCGCGAGCTTGAACGGTGTTGTAAGTGCACTGACCCGAGCACGCCGACACAGCGAGGTGGAGCTTTGGTCTTCCAAGGTTCGCAAAGGCGAACGAGGCGAGCGCAGCGACCGGCGCTACCCTCAGCGCCGGCAAAGTGGCTTCGGCCGCTAAGTGGCTTCAGCCGCTGAGCCTGTAGCATATTGGTAGCCTTCGTGGGTGCATTGTAGCAGAATGTACCCACGCAGCTCAGACTGGCACGCTGCGCAAGCCTCCGGAATAAAAGCATCTCTTTTGCGCCAACTGTCATCCAGTCTGATTCTGCAACACTTGTCACTCAGCATCACTCATATGCACATGCAGTGCGAATCCACTAATGCCGTTGCCGTGGTCGGAGCTTCGCAAAGGAGACTCCAAATCTGGGAACCACTGGGTAGACAGCCTTGCATCACCCTTTGAATCAAGTAGGCAGACCTGAAAATGGCACCTTGCCCGCCAAGGTCTGGACCAGGCGAAAAGATTGTCCCTGTTCCTTTGCTCCTTGGTTTCAGCATCAGGTGCAATGGTCATGTAAGAGGATGCGCCAAACACCAAAACAAATGCCTTTTTCATTGTGTCATGGTTTTGGGCCAGTTTTGGGGGTATGTTCGGGGTGTCGTCCTTCACAATGTCAGCCGACGCTGTGATCGGCTTGCTTCCAAACAAAGCTTGAATGCAGCTAAGGCTTGAACGACTCGAAGAAGGCGCGACGTGTGGAGATCAGAGCAATAGCAGCAGTATTACGACTTAGTTATAGAACGAAGTAACTGCGCAAACAAAAGTCAGAACGATGATGGTGCCGTCGACTGTAAGAACCAACTCTGTTTGGGCAATAGCCTCCGCTGGGCGGCCTGCAACTTGAGCTCCGCAAAGCGCCGTGTGAATTTCAAAACGCATGTGAGCAGTCGTAGAGATAATGACAACCCCAAGTATGACAGCCGACAATTTCTGGCCCAAGTCCTCACGCCAGGTGAAGCTACACCTCCACAACGCCTACCGCGACACGCACTTCTGGAAGCTGATGGGATGCTCGGCTTCAATCCAGACCCCCTCAGGATCCAACAACCCCTCCATATGGACCCAAAATGACCGTAAAGGGAGTTATAGGGACTGTATAAGGCTTGTATATGGGGTTATAAGGGATTTATAGGGTTCCGGAACCCATTTCTACATCGGGGAAACTAGGGGATTAGTTGGGGGTTCTATTTTTTGCATTCTTTAGGGGTCTGGGAACGCATGAACATCATGGTAGCAGGCTCTGAATTTGCGTTGCGACATGTTCGGATGTACAGGGAGTCATATCAAGGGAGGTGGGGGTAAGGGGCCATAGACGGGTATGCGTGGAAGAAACTCCGCGGAAGACTAATCCCCTCCCCCTAAAATGAAACGCCCCCAACCCCCCTAATATTGAATAATTACTCCCCAGTAGAATATATTCTAGTATATTGGGAGAATCAAATAGAAAGGACAATGGAAACTGATATGGAGACAACCATAGGGTTAGGGTGTAGGGTTGGGAGTTTAGGGTTTAGGTTGATTCTATTGGGAAGGGGGAAGAGGCGATGCGGCTGTTCGCAAAACTCAGAGCTTCAGCACTGCGGATCTACAACACCTGCCACTACAAGTGTTTGAATGCAATGGCCAACCAACATGAGTCAATTCACTGGGTTTGCAACGGGATGCTGAGGGTACACAAAGGCTTCTCCATGGAAGTTCATATGGCCCCATGTAGGTTTCCAAATAGAATCCCATGCTTTCTGCTTATGCCACGTAGCAAATATATGAATATGACTATAGCTGACATGCGTGTTGGGCTGGAATGCATTTTCTGTGAGATACTTCCCAATCATCTTAGGTGATTGCGTGGATTTCCAGAAGGCCAGCGTTGGAGGGGTCTCTGGGGTATATCTCCAGGCCCCTGCTTGTCCGATGACGGGTTGCAGGTTTCAGGATGTTGCAGTTCAGCGTAGCAAGATTACGACTGCTGCCATTCCACCCTGTGCTCAAAGTAGAGAACTGGCTTCCTCAACAGCTGAGGTCAAACTATGGGTCCCTTCTTTGGTGTACCAAACTAAATATTCTACATGCTAAGGAGGGCATCTGCTTTGAATTTAGAAGGCCCAGCCAAATCCTGAAGAGCTTAGACATGTGCGTCCCACAGGAAACCTAGAGTAGTCCTGGGCGAACCTCAATGCTCATGCAATGCTCCGCTACAGCACCACTCAATATTCCACGGGTTGTCCTGTTTTAGAATGAGGGGTCCTACAAACCCCTTCCAGTAATAACGTAGAATGAACATACCATGACTCCATCAGATGCTGCCAGTCCACAACAAGCGTCATTCATTCGCATGTTGCTTCTGTTCCGTTCGCCATCTTACTGCTGGTTAGTATTAGTAGGGAATAAGGGAATATTTTCCCTATATAGTATACTTCCTTATTCCCTACCAACCCCCAGTAAGCCATTCTGTTCATTCATCAACCTTGAGTGCGGCGTCCTACTCAACCTGTTCATAAGTAGTAGATATAGGGGTTATGTAGGGGTTATATAGGGAGAATGGAAAAGAAAATGGCAATTGCGTTATTATAATGGAGTATATATTGGGGTTATAGTCCCCCTTAAGTAGATAGAATATGGGGTATAAGGGTATCTTGTTTTAATATCCCCAAAGCCATATTCTATCTGCTTAGGGGGGACTATAAACCGGAAAAAAATCCCTAAACCCAAAATAGCCCATTATAGTAGTTTCCATTTTCCTTTTCATTATCCCACAATATAACCCCTATATAACCCTAAACCTGGTGCGCCAAGCCTAGCCTTTTTTTGCTTTGCAGGAAGCTCGAGCAGCGGAAATAAGAGCCCGGCCTAAATTTGAGGCTGGGGCTTTTTGAGGTGTAGACTGGGTTGCTGTTAAAGAATTTAGATTAAGTTACCGTAATGGGTGTATATATATATATATAGTGTACATATATATATATGTGTATAAATCTATACGGTTTCCCCAATAGAGTAACTAAAACTGAATTCTTTACCTGCAGCCCAGTAGAGGGTCCACCGGTTGATTTGTTGGTATCTGCAAAGTGGGGTTCAGGTATACAGAAGCCCTCAGATGTCTGAAGCGCCCAGCAAGGACTGCGAGCAAAGGCAAAAAGCTTAACGCCCTAATAACAAGCCAGCTATCTTTGACAATCTTTTGGACCCTAAGCCCTAGACCCTAAACCCAAAGCCCCATAACCTTAACCCTTAACCCTAAACCCTAAACCCTAAGCCCCATCACCTTAAAGGTCCAAAAAGCATTACGTCGACTGCAGGCCCGGCCCCTAAAGATGGACGCCGAGATAGCGCCAGCCAAGAAGTTTCTGGAGACGTTCACATGGACCAATCCCAATAATCTCTGGGAAGAGTTTGAGGCCGGCAGCCTCAGCCTCTATACAGGGAGTTGTGACCTGTAAAACATAAGAGCAGAAGTAGCAAGTATGAAGATAGTGGTGGGGTCATAGTAGTCGTGAAAAATTAGGGTTTGGTAGTCGCAGTAGATATTTGGAAGGGAGGCGCGGATTCAAGGTGTGCGGATCTACAGGTAATCAGCTTGTATGCCCACAATCCTTGGCTCTGACCCATCCTTCTGTGTATGCTGCGGCTTGTTTTGGATATCTGAGCCCTAAACCCTGAACGCTAAGTCTGAAGTACATGGCTGACTCTTGAGGTTGAGGGCTATGTCCTTAAAGGACGAGTGGACCTCCTGTACACAAGATGCTTGACACGTTGTATTCTGATCGCTACTGCTTTTCCTATTACAGTTGAAGATCGCATTCCGTCCAGTATTATTTGTAAGATGATTCTCATTATCTGTATTATTGATAGTATTTCTTATTCATATTCTTAGTAGCACTGCCTTTGCTAAGTATTGATGTGTTGCAGACGGTGTCAGCAAAGAGTTGGGGCTGATTCGGTTCAGGCGTGCTCATACCCTGGGTTGTGATGAAGGTTGCTGTTAAGGAACCTAATTGAAATTACTTCAAAACGGGTACATCGTGTATAGTGGAGTTTTCTTGTTGTAGTCATTTTACTTCAGTTCCTTGACAGCAAACAGTAAATAGGGACCCTCTAGCAGTCATAAAGTATCATCGTCGCGGGGCCCTCATCCCCATTGTGTTGGGCGCACCTCCCGGCTCTTCAATGGGACAATAGGGAAAAGCCCCTACGTAGGTACCTAAACCCATCTAAACAAAGGGTCATTCCCCCTCCCTAGTAACTGTCCTTAAAGGGGCCTTATTAAGGGGGTTCTTATGACTCCTATAACCCATTGTGGCAACAGTTACTGTGAGGGGGAATGACCCCATCCAAACCCTAGTTTTGTCTTAGCCAGCGTAATGGGATCCTTTGACGAGAATCAAAGCACTTCATCAGCCTCTGGGTAGCGATGGGGTATCGCACCAAGTCGAAAGATTCTCAGAACACTCCTTATAAGGTCCCTTGTAGAGACCCCACGCCCCTGAACCCCAAGCCCTAAACCTTAAATCCTAAACCCCAACCCCCTTGAAGATTCATCAATGTAAATTTGCTAGTTAGTCCACAAGTGATCAGCTTCTGGATTGTCACATGACCGATTGCATAAACCCCAAGCCCCAGACCCGAAACCTTAAACCCCAATCTTGAAACCCCTAAGCAACTTCCAGGCACCTTTTCTGGATATGGGCACCAACGTGCTGAATCAGAAGTCCAAGCGCTTCAAGCTTCAGTGCCTCACACAAGCAAAAGCCTGGTTTAGGCGTTTATACGGGTTCATATAGGGATGATCCCTAAACCCTAAACTCTAAACCCTAAGCTCTAAACCCTAAACCCTTGATGGAAAGGAACATGGAAACTACATTCAGGGTTTAGGGTTTTAGGATGTTTTAGGTCTAAGACTCAGGGTGAAGGAGTTGAAAAGAAAATGGAAGCTACTATATGGTTTGGGGTTTAGGATTTGCGATTTAGGGTTTAGGGTTTAGGGTTTAGGGGTTCACGGTTCAGGGTGGTTAGTGAGCGAAGATTGTCTAGGGGCTGCAGTTGGGGTCGATTCCTCCGTTCCACCCTAGTAGCCAGCAAGTTAAGAGTGAGAGGGGTGAGCATTGGTAGGCTTACAGGGGATT